ATTTGATCCCCAATGTGGCAGTGTTGGAAACTGATTGGGTCATGGGGGCGGATCCCTCATGAATGGATTAATGCTCTCCCTGGGGGAGGGGGGATTAATGAGTGAGTTCTCACTCTGTTAGTTCCCGCGAGCCCGTTGCTTAAAAGGACCCTGGCACCTCCTGTCTCTCTCTCTTGCTTCCTCTCGCCATGTGATCTGCTTGCAGCCTGAGGTCCATGCCAGACGCAGCTGTCCCAGAATTGTAAGCCAAATAAACCTCTTTCCTTCATAAATTACCCAGTCTCAGGTATCTCTGTTATAGCAGCACAAAACGGACTAAAACAGAGCTCAATAAATATGAACTAGGTTTTTGGGTTTTTTTTCTGTTTCTATCTTCTTAGTTTCTATGATGTGTTTTATTTGTTCTTTTCCAAGAATCACTTGCATTCCTGTGTGAAATCATGCTTGTTTTGATTTATCACTATTGTTATTTTTGTTGTTACTATTGCTGTTATTCAAATAAATATATATCATGAGGATATTGGAAAAGTCAGAAAATTAAAACATCAAAAAATGAAATGTAAATTCCTTTTAGCCCCTTGACTCAGAGAAAACAACTGTCAATATTTTCACAGATTTAGACTTACAAAACTTTTAAAATGGAATTATGCTTTCATATTGTATGTTATAACTTGTATTTCCTCCTTCAAAATATATCACAAATGCTCCACGTCAGTGAGTACACCTCTCCATTACTACTTCTAATGCCTACCTCATGTTTCATTCTGTGGCTTGCCGTTATCAGACAACTAGTCCTTAAATTGCTGAGACATTTTGATTGATCCCAGTTGTTTTGCTTTTATAAGCAAAAAGGAGATGAACATCATTGCACCATCATCTTTTTTTTTCCATTAAACCAATTAGTTCCTTAGGGTACGTTACTGGATGTTGAAGAGTAGTTTAATGGGTGTGCACTTTTAAAATTCTGATATAAATACACTACAGAAAGTTGAATTTATTCTCCTGCCAACAGTATTGGAGATGTGTTTTCCATCTTTAACAATTTTATAAGCCAAAAATACCAGTATTTTTATAATGTTGTTATAGAAAAGACTTTCCTAAAAATGGTACCAAAAGCAGAAACGATAAGAGGCGGGGGTGTGGGGGAGGGAATCAATAAATTGACTACTGAAAAAAAATACAAAAAAACCCCACCTCAATTTAATTTTTGAAAACTAGTAAACCCAGTTTAAGGGCAAATGACAAGTTAAGATAAAAGACAAACTGTGAAAATATGTTTATATGACAAAGGATTAATAACCTCAATAAAGAAAGAACACTTATAAATTAATTTTTTAATATAAACACTTCAATAGAAGCATGGGTTAGGAGCATAAACAGATTGATTACAAAAGAAGTACAAATGGCCAATAAATATGTGAAGAAAATGTTTTTCCCCATTGAAAATCAAAGAAGGTCAAAATGAAAAATAAATGATGGGGAAACTGAGACTCAGAGAGACTAAGTAATTCATCTAATGTCACACACAATAAATGTTAGAGTCTGCATTTGAACCTAGGCTGTCTGGCTCCCAAGTCTCTGTTTGATAGCCTCTTCCTGTTTAGACAGATGAGGAAACAGGTCTAGAGAGGTAGTGTCTGGCACAAATTCCCTCGGTCAGTTAGAAGCATTGCTTGGCTTCAAACTTGTATCTAAGTCACTCCCAGACTCAGGGTCTTTCCAGAAATTCCCTTTGCCCCACACCCAGAGCACAGCCATCATTCAACTATGTCTCCTGCACAGGCTTCTGCAGGCTTTTCCCTGTGAGGCCAGTGAGTGTTTGGGGAGGACAGTTGCATGACATTCACTGTGGGATCTGCTTATCTTTAGTTCCATAGGTGCCTTGCAGACCTTTGGATCCTGCTACCTTGCTCCTGCCAGCCCTCAGAGCCACAGAACCTTGGTCCCATCTACAGAAGGCCCTGCCAGGGGTTGCAGCTGAGGGTAAGTTACTGTTCACAGTTGGTGCTGTGAGGGCCAGCCGGCCAGGTAAAAGACCTCTGGTCAAGGAGAAGGGAACTTAGAACAAGAATTCCGTTAGAAGAAGTCACCCAGGTCCCAGACCTCTTGCCTGAGCAGAGACTCCCAGGTAAAAGTTTCCTTCATCGTTGAGCCAGAAGCTGAGCAATATCCATCCTCAGGGTAGCACACCTTCCAGGGACCCTCCATGGCTAAATCATGGAGGTAAGGTTGGTCTCAAGATACAGTTAGAGAAACAGAGTAAA